CCCCCCCCCCCCCCCCCCTCCCCCGCTTTATTCCTCGCGCGCGTGTATCTTTCTATATAATTGCCATATTTAATATCTCTTTTTACATTTTTCGATTAAAATATTAAACGTACTTAACAAATGGTGTAAAGAAGACTTGTGTTTTACCAAGTTTTTAGATGAATATCATTATCTTGATTAACGAGCAGATTAAGCATTTTTTTTTGTTTTGTTTAATACATTTGTCGATGAGTTAGGTGAGCTTCGATTTCGATGGTGTATAAATATGCCACAGAAAGTAACATTTTGAACAATTTCTTTTTCTCTACTAATTATGGCCGGTCGGCCTTAGTTTCCGAGATATTTAATAAAAACTTTTGGCACCGTGCGATTGAATCATACCTATAGCTATGCATCAGCTATACGCGAGAACAGACACAGTTGGTGAGTGATTGTTCAGCGGATTTGATTATACGTCAATTAATTACGCGTTAAGTAATTGCACTGATTCACTCGCAGCCTATCGCATTCTCCGGCGTAACTACAAACACAGTGGGCAAGGTTAGCGGTGACGAAAATCACGAAAAACGGCTTACAACGATACATGATTCTACGTACACCATGTTCATATAATATACAATACATATCGTATAACTTCAGTCGCGCATAATCGAATACACAAGTCCGAGAATTCAAACTAATATAAATTCGTTTGATAAACCGGTGTCTTCTTGTGTCTTACACTCGTTGAGTACATTTAATTATTTAGTATTTGTTAAGTACATTTAATAATCATATTCGAATAATGTGTAAGAAGAAGAATATTAATTTTTAGTATAGCTTTTAAATCAATAAACATTTTTTAAAACTGTTCATCTAGTTAAATTCGATTCCGAATTTTTTTCACCGATGACTTAAAATCAAATTTTTTCAATTTGGATTCCAAGTAAAGGGAAGAGAACAAAAAGTGGAAGGCGGGTTCATATTTAATAAACACATTTTGGTTGAGAATCATTAATATTTTTCCTATTGCATTGTGTTATACTTTACTGTGTATTATTCGTTATTTGCCATTGTTCGAATTGAAAATTATATTTGCATAACGAATAGTTAATATACTATTATGTATTTATTCGATTAAGTTATTTCTCGTTTTAAACAAAAATTTAGGTCGCATTATGCTATCTTTAGCGATTTAACGTAAAATACATAAAATAAGTAAGTATTCGTGTACGCAGTGTATTATTGCAAGTGAAAATTTCTCTGAAAATGATGACCGCAGAAAATTTTCCTTCATTTCCTATATGTACGTTCATATTTCTATTTTAAATGCAGCATAAAAATTTGTTTCAAGTTAATAACTTGGTTATTATATTTCGCCGTTCTTGGTTTATTAATAAATTATATGTTACATTACATGTAATATAATGTATAATATATTAATATTTTTTAAATAAACATTTAAATCGTCAGAATGCCTCTTTATACTTCTAATTACCATAAACATTTTGGTATTCAAAATATATTTTAATGATATTTCGATATAGTATCATTTTATTATAATTAGGAAAATAAACAAATCTTATCGATGTCTTTAGAATTAAAACTCACCTGTTCAATGTAAAAAGTTCCTTTCCTTCTTTTTCTTCTTTTCCAATTTCTTTCCTTTTTTCTTCTTTTTTCCTTTTTTCCCCCTCTTTTTTCCTTTTTTTCCCCTCTTTTTCCTCTTTTTTCCTCTCTTTTCTTTTCGTTATTTAATCGATCGATGCATAAGATTTGAAGCTCAAAACTAAAGATAATATTCTAACATGATCTTATTTTTTACAGATGGCATGGCAAGCAGTTCACTTAATAGCGGGCATATGTTACAAGATAACGAAGATAACACATTTGATCTTTTATTGAAGGAAGCGAAAGCAAAGTTACGTAAAAGAAAGGTTTGACATATGTATTATTTGTTAGTTGTAAATGTAATTTAAAAAATTAGTGGAGATGTCAACATTAATAATATTTGAAACAAAAGTAAGTGGAGAGATCTATATTGATATTTTCCACTAACAGAAGAATAGTAAAAGTTATATAATTGTTATAGAATATAAATAAGTGTTACGGTATGACATCTGTAACAAAAATAGCAGTTGACAGCTGTATTTTTTGAATTAATTGAAAATATCAGTACCATTGAAATTTATAGGAAATTACTTTAAGCTATTTTGATATTTTCAATAATAATGAAAGTATTAGATTTTTTCTATATGAAAGTCTGTTTAGTTAAAAGTATGTGACTTTAATAGATTTATTTTACTCATGGTTTTATAAATAATTTATTGAAACTAATACGATATTAATTACAAGCTCTTCAGTATAGGAGCATTTAAGTTAAACAAAAATAATTATAATTTAAATGTGTTTTAACTTGAAGGATATGAACCATCGCCGTAATACATATTAGTTTCAAGTTATTTTTTATGCAGGAAAGGATATACTTTCATCGCCTTCGAAAATATACAATAATTGAAATAAAAAGCATCATAGATAAAACTTAAAAATGCTCTTATTATACCTATTAAATTATTTATATGTTTGCATAGAAAACTATAGTAATTGAAAATAATTAAATCTGATAATATATTTAACTTACATTTTAACATTTTTTATAATGATTTAAGACACGTTTAATCCTGAATATACAAGGATATCTATACGCATATATCAATTTATTTTCTGCCTTTTTTCCCTTTACTTACGATTCGATGTACAGATTAATTAATTTTCATATCTTCAAATTAAAACTCTCATTCGTATATTATCGTACAAACTGTTAAATGTGTTATTATTTTTTACCTTTAAATTTCATCAAGTTCAAACGTTTACTACGTAAAAAGCTTTTATTCTTATATATATATATATATATATATGTGTGTGTGTGTATATATATACACATATATATAATAATAACAATATAGAACTTAAAAAAAATGATATTTTGTTGCTTTTGATGATTATTATTTTGAAGTATTGCCGAATATCAAGTGTGATTTATATAATAAAAGAGAATGTATATATAATCAAATTTAAAGGTAAGAAATGACAATACATTTATTACAAATTTTTAATTAGACATATATTATATTTTAAGTGGAAGTTAAGAACTTTAAATAATAAATTTAGTGGTTTTATAGGCAATTAGTATAATGACAAATTGAAAAGGAACAAATTGGAAATTCATAGAAATGAAATTCAATATTGATAGTTCCTATTATATGAGAAAGTATGAATATTTGTTTTCCAGTTTTAAGAAATATCATAATTTTCCTTTATGACGAAATGTAAATTTTTTTTATATACTATAGTACTTTTTATTAAATGTATGCTTTGTTCGTGGTTGATTAGACATTAACATTCAGTTGGCTAATTTTATCGATCTAATTGTTTACGTATTACTTAATTACATTATCAATTTCAGATGATGTAATAGGTAAACCATAAGAAATATTTTTATTTAATAATAAAGTGTACAACAGGAAGGTGCAGTTATTGAGAATTATTTAAATTCTATTGCCATACTTTATTATTAAATCGAATACGATTGTCATTTATATTTTATATTTACAAATCGAAGATTTCTCGGTCAACTTTTAACGTGTATATGGTATATACATTTTTACAACAAACATTAAGTTAAAACATTAAACAAAGATTTATTTTATGTTATTTTTAATCTACAGCTATTCAATATTATTTATTTTATGAAAGAATAAATGTTTATAATTAGCCCATTTGCTCGTGGTAATAGATACGTATAAGTTAATGGTTCGTTATAAGTTATCGAACAATAAATCTTTTTTAAAACATAATAAATATAAAATAATGTTTTAATGTAAAGAATAAAATAAGTTTAAAATTATTCTTTTCTTATTTGTCTTTTAACGAAACAAAACAGTTTTATGCGAATATTATAAAAATAACATAAATTATGTAGTACGTAACCAGACATTAATGACCGGTTATGAGAATAGAACAGTTTAAGCATCGAAATTGCAAAGATTATAAATTGTGCACATCGTTATATATTCATAATTTTAAATAATCATATAATACAATAATAATTCTATTGTATTTACAATGCAAGATATGGCATTCTTTAAAGTTAAAAAGTACGAATTATCCGAAGTACGTGAAATTTAATATTTTTAGTTGTCTTACAATGTTTAATTTAAAAGTGTGTTTATTTAGCCTGCTATATCGAAACAATCTATTCACTTTTGTATAAAAAATTTATATGATCATAATTACATGTAGTAATTAGCTAATATAGAATAATCAGGTTACAATAATCTCCAAAATTTATATTGTACCTTTTCAAATGATATATAATAATAAGTATGAGAATGTGGAACTGCATTATATAAGTTGGCTAAAAAGTATCATAATATATTTTCATATTATATTCTTAAAGTTGAATAATCTTCCAAGAAAAAATTACAGCTATGGAATTGTCGATTTAAGTGAAGTTCTTTTTGATAATAAAACAACAGACTTATATTCAAGCGCTTTTGCGAATATGTATTATTTACAAAGATATTTAATGTTAAATTTAATTTATTAAATAACAATAATCGTTAAATAAAATGGTATTGAGATGAAAAAGAAAAATATAACGTGCATTAAATACCTTTAAGCATAAACATTAAACTTAGAAAGAATATGAAGGTAAGTATATATCCTTGAAAATTCAAGAAGCATATCCGTTTGCAAATATATCTGTTTTTTCCGATGAAAATAAACTGTATCGAGGTTTAACCATTACAAAAATTTTATAGGGGAAATGAACGTAACGCTGAGATGAGAATTTTCTTATAAGTTGTTATGGTAAGCTTTGGAGATCGTAAACGTATAAAAAAAAGGCAAATATACGAATTTGTCGGAATATCAAGTTTGTAGAAAAGACGAATTTTAGAGAGAAAAAAATGGGAGAAAGAGAAAGAAAAGTAAAAAAAGAGATCGCATAGTAAAGAATGGGTGGTAGTAATTACATGCCGAGGAAGTATAAAAAATTTCAGTTACGATATATTTGCTTCTGACAATACTGCTTTGAGAGAAACGCATTTGAAAATTAAAAAATTCAAATTGAGGTAAAATAATGATTTTATTATTCTAAAAGATAATTCTCAAAGATGTTTAAGATATTTTCAAATAAAAGCATTTTTAAAAGACTGATGTTTTAATTACATCTAGCCGTAGTTTTTTCAAGTAATTTTGATTATGATTTCTACATCGATCTTTGTAAATAATATGTATAGTAAAAATATCATTATTATATATTTTCTTCATCCATACATAACGGTTTATGAACACATAACCGTAATACATAATGTACAGTGTTGTTGTATAATGTGCAGTGTAAACTCGTAAGATATAACGTAAATTTCAAATTGGACGATGCCTATGCTAAATAAAACAGACTAAATAACTAACATAGAATAAGAAAAAATAAAAGTAAAATGTAACTTATAAAACTTAAGAATAATATTTTTTTCCCGTTTTTCTCTTTTTTTCTATTGCTTTTTTCATTGCTATTCTGTTTAGCTGCTGATATTTATCTTAGGTAATTTCTCAAACTCCTTACTATAGATATATAGTTCTTTTCGTATCTTCTCTCCTAGTATTCTATTTATTTCCTTTTCGTTACCATTTCTGATTCTCATACGATAAAATACTTTGTACCTCGCACATTTGCTCGATACTTTATCAATCATTTCAGTATATGATTAAAATTCTCTTCTTTTAAGTCACACATTCTACATTCTACATTTTAAACAATTCTTTTCATCGAATTTCACCGTATGTACATTGCTATACCTAGCCCATTATATCCATATTTCAATATATTCGATATATTCAATATATTCTGTATGTTTTGTAAAACGCATTAAAACGTAACACTCGAAGCGTATTCCAATATCTTTCTAAATCTAATTCATTTTATTTTTTTCTTCTTCTTTCCAAAGTATCTTCTGTAATATATCTCGATATGTCAACTCTTGATCGATCTTTTCGAATATTCTGTTCGATACTCGTAAGGGGATAGGACAGTTTGACATGCTTAAAAATTAGCAATAATTTAAAGAATCACCAGAGAAAAAGTAATATAATAACATATTCTCTAGGCATTGACGTTCGAACATTTCAAATTTTTCGGAAATTTTTACGAAAGAATTTTAAAGAAATCGAACGTCAATGCCCAATAAATGCCCATATAAATTATAATAAAGATATTTGCAAAATTTCATAATAACCGTTCGATTAGATCTCGAGATATCTTGCACATCGTTTTTGGAAACATAGTTTCGAGAAAAACACGTATATCGTTTCAATCGATCATTGCGCTGCCTGACGCGCGATTCGACCTCTTTTTTAGAGTTTTTCAGAGTTTTTTAGAGTTTTAATTTTTTTTCGTCGAATGTAACACATTGTGCAGCAGCTATTGGTCTCATGATTAAATTTATAGCGCTTATGTCTCGTAAGATAGTTTATAGTGGAAAAGCCTTTATTGAAAATATTAGCAGCGATATAAACAGAAATTTTCGCGTTTCGCTCTGAATAAATTTCTTGAACTTTTCTAAAACTTTATTTTAATTTTGGGCCAGTGCGCCCGAATCAAACCAAAAGTAAACATTTATAATGTCGACTCCGCGACTTTTCTGATGTTACGACTTGTAGAATCGATTCCATGCTGATAGATTGTCACGTCAAGTCGTTGTAAGTACATTTGTCGATGCGTTACGGCAAGTAAGGTCGCGAATCGATTTTCACTTCCTTACATCGGAAAATAGTTTGTTTCAAACTATTGTTGGGACTACTATTTAATAATGATTTAAGCTAAAAAGAAACGATTTTTTCAGAATTTCAAACTGCCAAAATTTCCTGGCTACCTAAACAT